GGATGGATGGATGGATGGATGGATGGATGGATGGATGGATGGATGGATGGATGGATGGAAGTTCTGAATACGTTCAAAATTCAAATGACAGGAAACATTTTGGAGACCCTCACAACCGTTCACTAATTAATAACCAGTGACCACAGCCCAGTGACTTTACACTGAACCCTCAGAGCTTTTATTAACAGACCACACCTTTCAAATAAACTGATCAGACCATTACACCGACTTTATGCTTTTCTTTCATTCATCAGTCACACGTTGCCGTCTGTGTGTCCAAATCAAAGGTTGAGCAACATACATGTATTTACCCGTTGTGCATTGTTTCCACCTGCTTCTAGGAGGAAATGACCCCTAAACTTTGACTGGCAGTAAATGAAACTCCTGAAAGATTTGCTGTTAAAACATAAAATAAAACTACAATATTGCTTTGAAGCTTTTAAAAGCCCAAATTCTATGGCTTGTTGATCAATACCGTACATATTTAATGTCACTGATTGTTGGTCACCAACTTTGTATAAAAAACTGTCAAATATAGACGTGTTAGTGGCATTAAACAAACTGAGCTGTTGTTATATAACATGCTAACTAGCACTCAAGGTGAAGGAAGTGATGTTGCTCCACAGCATTTCCTCAGTGACATCATCACGAGTGGCCTGTTGAGTTTTTTCCTCAAATTTGGATACATTGAAATGTTTATCTTAAAATATCATATTTAAGAATTAAAAACTAAGAAGGCAGAAAATAGCAAATAAAGCTGAGGAGTTGTGATTATCAATGTTAGTCAAGGCCACAGCGTCCCAGAACTTGCACTAATTTAGCGCTAAGCTAGTGGCGAACAATACAGATGCGCTAGCTAAGATGCTACAGATGTGGCGCTGCGCTTCTCTCATGCATCCTAATCCCTCCACCCACCCCCACCCGGGTCAACAACTGCCGGCACTAGCGTAGCACTAAGCTAGCACGCAGCACAGAGGTGTCTCCCCCTCCTACCCCCGCACCATCGACAAACCTCCCCGAAGAGATGAGCGCCCTGCCAAGCCAAGCGGTGGAAACACTGCATGAGGTGAGTTGTGGGTAAGCAGGAAAACCTGGAGTGGACTTCTGGTGATTTGAGTGGATTCGTTCATGAAGAAATAGAAACAACGCTGGGTGAACTAATATTTCATGGTAAATGTGTGTGGTTCAGTGTTGCCAGGTGAGAAATGTAGGATTATCGTACTAGAGACATAAAATTATCGTATTTTGAGGGAAATTATCGTACACCCGTCATAACCAAAATAACAAATCTATTTATGCACTATAGTAGTGATGGGTCCGCTTCCAGACCGACTCTGCTTCTTCTTTTTTTCTTTTCCTCACTCATGGGGCGGGCGCAGCGGACTATTCAGCCAATCATGGCCGCAAACACGTCACTCGTAGGTAACATTTAGAAAAGCACGATTGGCTGGAATTTTCAGCCAATCGTGTATCTGTTTGCGGACACAGATGCCTTCAGGGTTCACAAAAAACCCCGAACAAACCGTTGCGAGAGGCTCATGACAATCTATTACAACCACACATTCACGGAATGGTCCAATTATTGTATATTTGGCCTTTTTTGGGATTATTGATTGTACAGAGGGCAAAATTGTCGTACAAATACGATAATTATCGTACACTGGCAACACTGGTGTGTGTGTGTGAGGGGTCCAAATGAAACATTTTTTAAATGTGAGGGGGACACGTCCCCTTCACATATGTTGTGAGGCCTGTGTCTACAAAGAAAACACAAGGATCTTCAGGAATCGGTCATTAGTTGCTGTTTTCTATAAATTAGCATCAGAGCTGGGCGTTAAGAAACTTTCATCAATGAACCTCCAAGACAAAACTCGATTACTTGGAGTTTGAGCAAAGTTTAGTTTTACTGTAGCACAATTTTAAACATATTTCAGTTAAAAAAAAATGACTCCACTTGTCATTTTTTTGATAGTCTGACTTATTGAGCTACTTGTTTATTTTAAGAGTGATCATTTATTAAATACAAGTTTTCCCAGTACAGAGCACATTGTTTAAAACCAGTGCCTGTTTTACCACCTGTGGAGCAGAATGATCAGGTTTTTAGCAGCGGTTAATGCCGAGCTTCTGTATCGGATAATTTGAGCTTCGACACTTGTTTACTTATTGATACTTACTAATAATTACCAGTGAAATAAGAACACTGAGGGTAATATTACAGCCAAAACATTGCAGTTACTTTAAAATAATCCTTCCAGGATCACAGAGTATTCAAATAAAGAACTTTCAGCTGATGAACTACATTTCATAGGCGTTGTCTTAAGTTAGAATTTATGTATAAAAGAGAAAATAATTTAACCATGAAAGATCTACAGAAGTGTTTTACAAAACTGGGGGGGAAAAAAATCAGCGAATATACTGGAATGTAAATAAACTGAATAACAAGCTTTCAAATTGGTGAAGTTTAGTTGTTATAGAGTAAATTAAAAAAAAATCAGTAATATTAAATAATGTTTGTTCTTATTGTTTTTTTTCTATTTGAACTCAAAGTTGTGGAAAAGTAATTTACTTAGTGTGAATGAAAATAAAAATGTTGAGCCTCTAGGACATATTTGAGTCTTGCACATTCACCATCAAAGTTTTCACCTGAACTGTGATGAGGCCACCTGGCTGAAGTTAGCTTCTGGACTGGAAGAAGCTCACAGTTTGCTAAAGCATGAAAATGATGACAACCATGATGTTTAACATACTTTGTATGCATTTCTTATTTTAAAGCCAAGCTCAAACAAGGTACGGCGGCTGTGACTGAGTGGTTAGAGCAGTCGTCCTCCAATGAAAGAGTTGGGGGTTCGAATCCACCAGCAGTCACGTGCAAGTACAGTCCACTTACCATTGACCATTTACAATTCTGATAATAGAAATAAGCCAGTGTAATCGATTATGTAATTACAAGTTTTGATTGGTCACTGTGCAGAAGTGTTAAATGAGGGGGATAAACCTGAGAACATCTAAAGAAAATGCTAAAAAGTTCTACAAATACTAAACAAAATTTTACACAAACTCATAAAAAGTTGTTGGCATTGGTTTGAATGTGTTTGACATGACGCATGCACAAAATCGAGTATCACAAGGAGCAACATGTTGTTAAAATTATAATAACATTTTTCACTAAAATACAACAAAACAGTGACATAATTCATAATAAATAGGCTGCCAGGCTGATTATTCATTCATTCAACCTTTATTTAGACAGGAGGACTCATTTATGTATAGTGATGATTAACCCTCAAAAAAAAAAAAGGCTTATTTGTAGTATAACACTTGTTTGGGATTTGTTTTAAAATAGAAAACCCATACCAAATATCTTAAACACCTTTATACACATTTCATTCCTCTTCGCATTGCTTCAGTTAATGGTGGGCCTCCTGCAGGCCAGAAACTAACTTCAGCCAGGTGGCTCCTGCACACTTCAGATGAAAACTTTGATACCAAATGTGAAAGCAGGACTCAAATATGTCCTAAAGGGCCTCTCGTACAAAACACTAAAAACTTCAAAAACTAACTTTCCTACCTTGACTATGTGCAGTTTGGGCAGCAGGTTGCAGTCTGCCAGAGTGAGCTCGTTCCCGTCCAGGAAGCTTCGCTTGGAGCCCTTCTCCTCCTCCATACTGTGTGCGTCGATCTCTTCTGGCAGAGGGCTGTTCAGATACTCGTCAAGCTTCTTCAGGGCCTTGGTTAAACCTTTTTCTAAAACTAAATGCACAAGTCACAAACAGAAACACACAGAAAATCATACAAGTGTCACAACAATCCCAGTAGACGGCAGCAGAGCAGAGTCCATTGAGGAGACCAGACCCTGCAGGCTGGACTCTGCTGCCGCCTAGTGGAAAAATATGTGAATGACCTCGAGGATTTCTTTCCATGTTATGATCTGGATGTACATGTGTGAGTGTCAGGGAGCTGCTCACCCTGGTTGGCCTCAGATTTGGTGCTCTTTATGTAGGCAGAGAACTTGGCAAAGATGTCATTTCCAGCTGTGTTGGACTCTCGGTTCCTGGCAGCCAGTTTGGGATACCTGAGCAGGCGGTGGTCAGAGACAAGAGACACAGTCAGAACGAAGCATCTGGATGAGATTAACACCTGGACAGAAGGAGCTCGGCTCAGACTCAGAGGCTCAACCGACAGCCCACCCCTTCAGGTGTTCCCACACTAAGGTCCGCTTTTAATGTAAGAAACGTGACCTGCAATAAAATAACAGATTTAAGTCGTCTCGTAGTTTCTAAGCATTTTTTCACACACTGACTTTCAGGACATTTTCAAAAAACAGCAACAAAAAAAACCAGAACAGGAAACTTGTATAAAGTTAGATAAAATTACAGAAAAATACATACAATTATGCTGGTATATTAGCCCCCAGCTTTAATATCTGTGTTTTAAGCCAAGATTATTTTATGTTGAAAAATGCGTGTTATAGCCGTTTTGGTTAAACGTATAAATTATGTCATGAACATCTCATGTTAACATGGTCAGATGTCCCAGTCGGAGTTGATGGTGGGGACGACTTTCAGCTACTGCCTTCACAAATTTTAGCTCTTAATTTGTAAAATTCACTGAAGTATAGCCATTTATGTGTGCCATAATATCAGCTGGCTGTGGTAGCCATCTTACACTGAATACGATCGTAAAGGTAATCAGCTGTAGACGTTAGTCCATTGATTATTTCCTAGAAGTTTCATCAAAGTATGTCCACTGGTTCATATGATATTTTGCTAACAGACAAACAGGGCTCATTCTAAACAGTTAATGGCTAAATTGTATATAAGGATCTTTTGCGATCTCTCCGTGCTCAGATTATGCGTTTAGGATCACTCTCTGCTACTACCACACCAAATTTCAGATCAATATTAGTAAAACTGACTGAAGTATAACCACTTTTGTGTTGACTAATATTTGTTAGCTATAGCATCCATCTTGAACTGAGTTGACTCATAAAGTTAAACATTTGTACATGTGTATCCAGTGATTGCTTTCTGAGAGTTTCATTAAACTTTTTCCAGTGGTTCACGTAATATTTTGCTAACAGACATACACAGACACGCCTTTCAGTTGTGGGTGATAATAAATCATAAAGAGCTCAGATTTAAATGTGACACACACACATATCAGTTTACGTGCATGTGCTAATGTCGGTTTTCATCACAGACTGTAATCTTTTACTTGATTTTAAAAGTTTCTTGTTTCTTCAGCAACGTTGAAGTGAGTTAAATCTAACTGCAGCTGTACATGTGTCTGATACAGAACACACTGAGAGAAACATTCAAGTCGAGTTACTTTGGAGGGGCGAGCATTTCCTCCAGAAACTCCTCGATCTTGTTGATGTCCGTCCTGACCTCTCCGTTAAAGGTGAGGAATGGGGGGTGGGTGCCCGGGGCCAAGTTCTGCAGGTCCACCGGCTTTCTGCAGAGCACACACACACACACACACACACACACAAATAAAACAGGCTGTAAGGATGAAAACAGTGTGAAATGCATTTTGTGCTCATCTCTTGGACGCTCACCTCTTCAGGTCCACAGTGGTGACGTTGAACACCACTCCTTTGAGCCAGAGGATCATGAAGAGCCGCTGGGAGAAGGGGCAGTTCCCGATGCTTTCTCCATCACTGCCTGCCTGCACTCGAACGCAACACATCAGTCAGTGCTGTGGTGCACTCTGACTTTATTTTAAAACAACCTCTAAAATCAAGCATGCAGCTCAACAGTTCATCTTATTGTGTTATATATTTAGTCCATTTCAGAGTTGCAGCTGGAGCAGAATAAAACTGAAAAGATCACAACAGTAGCAACAAAAAAGGTTAAATCGTGTCATCTGGACTAGTTTCTTTAAGTGAGAAACGTTTCATCCCCCATCCAGAGGACTTCCTCAGTCTACGGCCTGCCAACCAGATCTGTCCCATAGGTAGCCATGTTAAAAGTCTACTTTTGAGATTCCAACAGGAGTTTGGCTTGAAACACAACAGTGAAGGCTAAATCTGGTTGGTAGGCCGTAGACTGAGGAAGTCCTCTGGATGGAGGACAAAAAGTTTTTCACTTAAAGAAACTGTTCTAGATGACACGATTTAACCTTTTTTTGTTGTTATCTATCTGGACGATTGAGCTTACAAACCTTTATCACAACAGTAGCTAATAACTTAATGAAAAGAAAGATCCTGGAATAATAATAATAAAAAAAATTGTTAAAAGACTCTTAACGACACAGTTTCAATCAGGTCGGTTTCTTTGTTTGCTTTGAGACGTTTTGGACTTCATCCAAAGGAATCCATCAGTCTGAGGAGCCACAACAAACTCAGTCCCACGAGCAGCACCCTCAAATAGTGGGCCAACCAGTTTGCTGGTGATAAGATGGTTTGTGGGGCCCGCCCGCTCCCCTGTTGACTCCTCTGAGGCAGCCACAGCCAAAGTTCATGCTCAATAATCCAGGTTGACCTGACTGAACATTGTTGGATTTTTTTACTTGGATTACTGAGCATGAACTTTGATGACACAAGTTCAACAAATATAAACTTTGGTTTTATAAACACTTTTTGTCGTCCACCTCCAGAAGGTGGACAACATTTTACTTTCATTTTGGCCGTTTCACCATCTGTGTGTAGTGTTAGCAAAATATCTTGTGAATCAATGCACTAATTTTAATAAATGTACATTCAAAGCTGAGTTGATAAAATGCAGGGTTCCCAACCCTGGCCCTTGAGGAACACCATCCTGCGTGTTTTAGTTGTTTTTTTGCTCTGACACACCTGATTTTAATCAATGGGTGATTAACAGACTCAACATGAGGAAGTAATTAAATCACTGAATCATGCGTGTTGGAGCAGGGAAACAATTAAAACATGCAGGATGGTGTTCCTCAAGGACCAGGGTTGGGACCACAGATATAGTGTATGTAAAGTGTATTGTAAAAAGCTTATAATCTGTTATTAAGCACTGCACTTTGGGTATTATTTGTAAATCAAGAGCCAACACAAATCAGATTAAAAAAATGGTGAAAGTTTATAAACTCCTATTGGACCTTTAATTTTTTTAAACTGGTCACTTAAGGATAGAACACGTCGCATGTTGACTTTCTGGGTGAAGCATCGAGGCGCTTCCTCTTCATCCAGCATTTGTGTACCAGCTGAGGTATCGTGTGTCGACACGCAGAGCTCCAGCACCGACACTGGATCCTCCGGCCCTGCTGAATTATACATGCTGAACCCAACCCCTGGTTCAGTGGCCCCTGGGGCAACGAGGGGCCTGCAGTCCTGCAGAGGTCCACAACACGCAGCAGAATGAGAGCACTGACCTCACAGTTAGAGTTCAGCACACTGATGACGTGTCCATTAAAGTCTACTGACCCCTGGTTTAAAGGGAAGCATCTACATGGTAGAACTGTCCACAACTGCGTGTGTCCGTCAGCTCGAGCAAAGACTGAGCTGCCAGAAAAGCACCTGAGCCAAGTGAACGCAGACCTGCCATTGATGCGCTCAGTTCGCTGTGGTGCCCGATGCTTCTGTGCATTGTTGCGACTGGGCTCACTTGCATGGAGGTAACACAATACACGGGCTGCAGATAATAATAGCCAATCATCATCTGGAACATGGAGGACAAAGTCTGTCATGGAGCACCAGACCTGAACACGAGTGGATGGAGCTGGAGAGAGAGCTCATTTTCAGTTTGCAAATCTTCTGTTTTTTATCCTAAAACAGAAGATTAGTTTTGATTTTCCACAGTTAGAGAGGGGAGTGAACACAGCAGCACTCCGACCTTTACAACCCACAGTTCTTTAACTTTACTGATCACTAGACCTTGTAGAGATGTTTCACCCAATGAAGAATTAACATCGAAGCGCCACAGTCAGCCTACACACAGGGTTCTTGATTCAAACTATTTAGATTCACGCGTCAAGTCTAAAAATACACGATGATTCCCGCTCGATGAGCAGCTGCCGTCCAGCATCGCAGGACACGTCTCAGGTCACAGCTGGCAGCTGGAGGAAAAGGCTAATAATAGAACTGCAGCTACTTTCACTTCAGCTTTATGGGTCATTTTGACTAAAGGACATCAGGAGGGTTAATGCTCTCTACAATAATAACTTTATTTACCAATCCAATATGGTAAGTCCATATGAAAGTACTAAATGATCTCAGTGGACCTGCAATAGTCTGGTTTCCCGAGGCCACGCTTCCCTCCAGCTAAGTGCATAAACACGTCAGGTTTGCAGCTCAGCTCCCACCTCACAGGGGTCTTTCCAGCAGTCTTCTGAGGACAGGAGGACTTTAATCAGAGCAAAACGCTGCTGCTTCACCCACATAAAGCAATACTTTCAGAGGGTCTCATTTTAAAAAGACACAAGCTCAAAATTTACAGCATAGTGATTATTAAAGATGCCGATGCATAACCACTAAAGTGCGCGTGCTGATATTCAGCCGTTCATCCTCTCGTCCTGTTGGGTGTTGATTTGCTGCTGTAATGGCAGCTTTGGAAAAAACTCTTTTAAAGTGAACATCCAAGCAGCTCCATCAAGAACAGCTTATTATGATTTGGTAGCCATACTTCATACAATTGGAGTATAACGAAACAAGAAAACTTGACCTCTTTAGAGCTCTGTAGCACAGACAGATGTCAGAAGAAACATGGTTCAAAGTTTAAACGGGTCGGATGACTGAACTGTTATTTTGATGTCACTTACGGATTTTACACCATCACATAGGTTTTATGAAAACAGATTTTACCTGAATGGACTTGACTTTCCAAAATCTTTGCAAACTGTTTTTACGCTGACAAACTTTACACCAAAAAGTGGTTATTTCTGACCTCTCTATTTTAAATGGTGTACCACAAGGCTCAGTCTTAGGACCCACCCGCTTTACAATCTACATAGGTCATGTAGATCAGAGCATCCCTGATGCATCCTTACATTTCTATGCTGATGACACAGTTGTTTACTGTCGAGCTAAAACAGTTGATAAGGCTTTCCAGCTTTTGCAATCTGCCTTTAACGTCATCCAGTCTGATTTGTTTCGCCTCAAACTTGTAGTAAATGCCGAAAAAACCAAAGGGATGCCTTTTTCAAACAGGAAGTCGGTCCCAGCAGTTCTTCCTCTGATTTTATCCTCGAATGGTGTCCCTATTGAGTTTGTTGATTCCTATAAATATTTGGGTATCTTGGTCGACTCGCATCTCTCTTTAAAGCTCCACGTGGAAAACTTGGTAAGGAAACTGAAAGTTAAACTGGGTTTCTTTTTCAGAAACAGATCTTGTCTAACTCTGAATGCTAGGAAACACCTTGTAACTGTGACTTTCCTTCCATTGGTTACAGTGACATTATTTACATGAACGCTCCTACAAGCACCCTGCAGATGTTGGATGCTGTCTATCATGGTGCACTAAGATTCATAACTGGCTGTGATTATTGTACCCATCACTGCACCCCATATTCACTGGTTAACTGGTCATCATTAACTTCACACAGACTCTCCCACTGGTACATTTTCATCTTTAAATCACTTCTTAGTCTGCTGCCTTCATACATCTCCTCCTACATGTCTCTGCGTGAGTGCAGCTACAGCGTGCACTCTCAGGACATTATTACCTGCAGTGTTCCCTCAGTGAGGACTGAACTTGGCAACAGGGCCTTCTCCTACTCCGCTCCTGTTTCCTGGAATATCTTACAAAAAAACATCTGAAGCTCTCGACCTTGACCTCTCTAAGTGGCTTTAAACATGTGAAGTTCCTGGCAAGAACCAATGCAGACATGTTCCTGTTTTTAGTTTTCTACATCGCTTTATAATCTAGCTGTTTTTGCTCCTTTTTTTTTTGCCATCTTATTTTAATTTTGGGGGGGGGGGGATCTGCATGCCTCTTTTATTATTGTCTATTGTTGTCGTTGTTATTCACTGTTGGCATCATTCTTTGTTAAAATCAGGTCTCTCTTGTAAATGAGTCTTGGAGGCTCAATGGGATTAACCTGTCTAAATAAAGGTTGAATGAAAAAAAATTTCCTCTCTAATCTCCAGACACATCCTGTTGACTTCCACTGTATCTGAGCTCAGAATTTATATTTAAAACAGGATATGAAAGGTCTTTTATAAATGGTGAATGGACTGTACTTATATACTGTAGCACCTTTCGATCTGATCAAGATCAAAGCTCTTTACAACACAATCTGTGCCCTCATTAACCCATTCATACAGCACTCTACTAAATCTCTGCAAAGAATAATCACATTCATACACCGATGAGACACACATTGGAGGCAATGAGGGGTTCAGTGCCCAGGGACACTTCAGCATGTGACTGCTGGTGGAATTGAACCCCCAACTCTTGCACTGTAGGATGACTGCTCTAACCACTCAGTCACAGCCGCCCATCGCCCATTTATCACTTTAGTAAAACACTGTCGACATAAAAACTGACATGTGACCCACAGCTGCTTCTGACACTTGCAGCTCTCTACTCTGCATTCCTGTCTGCCTGTTTCATTAGGAGCGCTGTCAGGAAGTGAAAGAAACAGGTCACCATGACGACCCTAATGAGACGTTACCAGGAGCGATGACATATCTTTCATGTCTCAAACCAGGCTTTAGAGAAGAAAGTTGACGGATGTTGGATTTGTTGGCAGCTGCTGAACTG